TTGTTGTTCTTGTCTTTGCCGTCATTGTCCATGATTTGTTTTCTTTTGTTTTGTTTTTCCAAAACGTTATCATAGTTGGAAATGTAAAGCAAATGGCTTTTTCGTATTGGATCCCTTCACTTAGTAATCCACACTTAAGTTTCCTCCAAGACTTTCTCCCTCTTTCCTTCCCTCCTCTTCTGTCTCTCTGCCTCCCTTTCATTGAGGGAGTTTATTTTCTAAAACAGCTTTTAAAAAGCTGGTTTACAGAAAAAGACTGGAAAGTGCAGAGTTCCCCTGTTCTCCCTCCTACCCCCCAAAACATAGTTTTCTCTATTGTAAACTTCTTGTGTCAGTGTAGTGCATTTGTTACAACGGATGAGCCCATATGAAAACTAATATTAACTGAAGACCGAAGTTTACCTTAGCATTCACTGTGGTGTGCAGTTTGGTGAGTTTTGACAAACGCACAATGCCATGATTCAAAGCATTTCACTGTCTTACAAATGTTTCACTGCCGTAAATATTCCCTGTGCTTCATCTATTATTCATCTCTCCCTTCCCCCCTGAGTTCCTGGCAACCACAGGTCTCTTTACCGTCTCCATTATTTGAGGCAACACTTTTAACTGTTCCAGGTTTATATTCTTTTGTAGGAATCTTCATGAAGATAAGTAATACAGTATACTGCTGCTTATTGTTTTGTCAGTTTTAAGTATCGTCTACTGACTTCCTATGTGAAGTTGACATGTAGATCGCTTAAGCCACCTGTCTTCTCTCTCCTCACCTTCCGATATATTCCCGAACTTCTATCTGTAAACTGTTTCAGTCAGGTCCAGCCAGCCGGTGAGTCACTATAGGTATTTTAAACAGTTACACACGTGATGGGAAATCCCAGAAGCCAAACGGAGGATGGCGAAGCAATCAGAAATTAGTATCATCAGAAAGCTGTTTCCACCCCCCAGAGCTTGAGAAATTCAGAACCATATCTAGCAGGAACTGAGAACATGGGAGAAGAGACTTTTGGAAAGAAGCTAGAATTTGGAGGATATAAAATCACTGGTAGGAAGTAGAGCGGGAGGAGAAAAACCTCTGGGCTTAGACCTTCCTCCCTTTCTGCCATCAAACACCCATTTGTCAAACCCCTTTGGAAGCCAGTTGGCAAGGAACCAGGAAACACAGTCTGTAGGAGAAGTGCAGGAACCGGATCTGAGGGCAAAAAGACATAACGGATGAAGTTACATATAGGTACTAGTAAGGGTTCTCCAGAGACTCAGTATCAATGGGAATTGGTTCACAGGATTACGGAGGCTGAGAAGGGCAGACCCAGGAGATCCAGTAGTTTAGTTCCAGGCAGACTCCACAAGCCTAAAAATCAGGAGAGCTGATGATGTATGTTCCATTGCAAGTCTGAATCTGAAGTCAGGAGACCAATATCACAGCTTGCAGACAGTCAGATAGACACAGTGGATTCTCTCTTACTCCGCCTTTTGTTCTATTCAGGTCTTCAATCGATTAGTTGAGGCCACCCAGTGTTTGACAAAGCAATATGTTTTGCTTAGTCTACTGACATACAGATGTTTATTGTACTAAGAAATGTCCTCACAGACTCACTAGAAATAATGTTTAGCCATATATCTGGGTACCCTGTGGCTTAGCCCAGTTAAAACATGAAAGTAAACATCACTCGATATAATTTTATGTTTATATGTATGTATGTATGTATGTACGTATGTATGTATGTCTGAATGTAGCTTATTTGAGAGAGAGAGAGAGAGAGAGAGAGAGAGAGAGAGAGAGAGAGA